AGTAACATAATTAATAATAATAATAATAATAATAATAATAATAATTCCCTCTCTCTTCTGCTTTGGCCAGCCCTCTCTCAAAATAATGTTGTGTCCACTGCTGGGCAAAGCAATTCAAGAAGATGATGGACAGGATGGAAGGTATTCAAGGGAGGGTGACCCAAATGGGCCAAAGGTCTGGAGACTAGGAGTCTCTCTGAGGAGAAGCTGCAGGAGTTAGCATGTCTAGCTTGGAGAAGAGAAGGCAGAGAGAAGGGGACTTATATTTCAGTCATATTTCAGTATTTGAAAGAGGGCAGCCTTGCTTTCTGTTGCTCCAGAGACCAGGACACAATGGAGCAAAGGATTCAAATTACAAGAAATCAATTCTGCCTAAACATTAGAAAGAACCTCCTGATGCCCAGAGCTATTCGACAGTGCTTCTGCCTGGAAGTCTGATGGAACCTCAATTGTATTTCCCCCCCTAAAAAAACAGATACTTAAATGATCCTCCATCAAGTGCTTTGATTGTGTTTTCCTGCCCGGCCAAAGTGATTGGGTTGGACTTGATTGCCCTTGAGGTCTCTTCCAATTTTATGATTCTGTGATGTGACGCACGAAGAGGGAAGCCCCTCTTTGTGCAACACAGAACCCAAAAGGAGATTGAGCAAGAAGCCCAAGTAGCTTTGACTGAATTAAGAGACCCGTAGCATGACTTAGATAGAGTACAGAAACCTGAATGGGTTGTACCGATAGGGGTATGCACCCACCTTGGCTGTGTGCTCATCACAAATGTTGGTGATTTTGGTGGCTATTATTGTCCTTGCCATGGGTCACATTGCGATGCATCTGGGAGGATCCATAAAGGCCCCTTTGAGGTTCCACACTATGAATTCCCTTCAGAAGATTTAGTTATTGTGGGTTAGATTGCTGGACACTTGGCTGTCTAGAAGCTTTGTGTACACAGACAAAAGGATATGGTTTGATGTCGTATAAAAATGAAGCTAGCCATAAAATGTGGTCAACTGTCTAAAGTCCTGAACGATCATGTCTCATTTTGGTTAATTATGGGTGGGACAGGGTGTCATTTGGGAGGTCCCTGTTTAGGCCGTGCTTCCGCTTTGCCTTTCCATCTCTACATCTGTCTTCTCACTTTGTTGAAAAGGGCATGGAGTAGGGATGGTTGTTGTTTATTCGTTCAGTCGCTTCCGACTTTTGGTGACTTCTGGGACCATCCCAGGCCAGAGCTTTCTGTTGACTGTCACCACTCCCATCTCCTTCAAAGTCAAGCCAGTCACTTCAAGGATATCATCCATCCATCTTGCCTTTGGTCGGCCCCTCTTCCTTTTGCCTTCCACTTTCCCCAGCATCATTGTCTTCTCTAAGCTTTCCTGTCTTCTCATGACGTGGGCAAAGTACTTCATCTTTGCATCTAATATCCTTCCCTCAAGTGAGCAGTCGGGCTTTGTTTCCTGGAGTATGTATGGTTGGAACTTCTTGAAGTCCAAGGCACTCTAAGAACTTTCTTCCAGCACCACAGTTCAAAAGCACAGTTCAAAAGATTCCTTCACTCAGCCTTCCTTATGGTCCAATTCTTGTATCCATAGGTTACTACATGGAATACCATTGCTTTAACTATGTGAATCTTGATTGCCAGTGTGATGTCTCTACTCTTCACTATTTTATTGAGATTGGTCATTGCTCTCCTCCCAAGAAGGAAATGTCTTCTGATTTCCTGGCTGCACTCTGTGTCTGCAGTCATCTTCTCACTGAAAAATACAAAGTTTATCACTATCTCCACATTTTCTCCCTCTATTTGCTAGTTATCAATCAGTTTGCATGACATTTGGGTTTGTTTTTTTTTTTTTACATTTCACTGCAACCCAGCTTTTGCATTATCTTCTTTCACCTTGGTTGGAAGGCTTCTCAGCTCCTTCTCGCTTTCAGGCATCAAAGTGGTATCATCTGAATATCTAAGGTTGTTAGATTCCACAGGAGACAGACAAGGTGACTTGATATTCCCATACCACCAAGAACTTGCCACAATTTATTATGATCCACACAGTCAAAGGCTTTATAGGAGTACGCTCAATAAAACAAAATTGCTTAGGTATTATTTATTTACTGTGTTAGGGGCACACCAAACAGTTGCATTGCATTTTTTAACAAACAGACAGACAGACAGACAGACAAACAAAACACAAAGTTTGCAAGCTTTGTAGTTGATTAAATGTCCTTTGACCAGTATCTGGCCACTTGGAGTGCCTCTGGTGTTGCCGCAAGAAGGTACTCCATTGTGCATGTGGCAGCGCTCAGGTTGCATTGCAGTAGGTGGTTTGCTCTTCTCCACACTCACATGTCATGGATTCCACTTTGTAGCCCCATTTCTTGAGGTTGGCTCTGCATCTCGTGGTGCCAGAGTGCAGTCTGTTCAGCGCCTTCCAAGTCGCCCAGTCTTCTGTGTGCCCAGGGGTGAGTCTCTCATTTGTTATCAGCCATTGGTTGAGGTTCTGGGTTTGAGCCTGCCACTTTTGGACTCTCGCTTGCTGAGGTGTTCCAGCAAGTGTCTATGTAGATCTTAGAAAACTATTTCTTGATTTAAGTCGTTGACTTGCTGGCTGATATCCAAACAGGGGATGAGCTGGAGATGTCACTGCCTTGGTCCTTTCACTATTGGCTGCTACTTCCTGGCGGATGTCAGGTGGTTCAATACCGGCTAAACAGTGTAATTCCTCCAGTGGTATAGGAGGGCGCAGACACCCCGTGATAAGGCGGCATGTCTCATTAAGAGCCATATCTACTGTTTTAGCGTGGTGAGATGTGTTCCACACTGGGCATGCATACTCAACAGCAGACTAGCATAAGACAAGAGCAGATGTCTTCACTGTGTCTGGTTGTGATCCCCAGGTTGTGCCAGTCAGCTTTCATACCTATATTGCTTAGGTAATGTCCACAAGTTGAAGTTCCAGACCAGGAAATGTTGAAACTAGGGTTGGGATATTGAATTGGCTGGTCCTAGATTTAAACAGCAGCAAGTGAACGCATAAGTACATCATGTAACACAGGAATGGACTTTTGGGGCGATGGCACCCACTTCAGAAACATTTTCCATTTCTACCTATAGAAGGCCCTTTTAAAGTGACACGTCTTAGCAAAAGGAGCATTCTCCCTTTTCTTTGTTTTCCCACGGGAGGAATGCCTCCTAAGACAATGTTTATGGCCCATTAAACTAAACAGATTTAACTGATTATTTGTATGCTATTTTTGCCTGTGAATCGATTTTTCAAACTGGATCGCAGCCCTAGTTAGAACTGGTTTTTGACGTTTAGCAAGTATTACCAGTCGATTAGAGGGGAAAAAATGCAACTTTTATCTGAAATGGGATCAGAATGGTTGCTGGAGTGCGAAGGGTTCCTTGGCCAGCATCCCAGTCGTATACGTGTGCATCTCACTGATGTCTTTCCGCCTAAGAAAGCCACATTCTTCTAAGAATATATTTATGGAAATTCATGGTGGCTACAAAGCGATGCCTTTGGTGCTAGGCTACTGCCAGATTCAAGTGGCTGCGAAGGATGGCCTCAAGCAGAAAAAGTGGCACGAGGCAGAAGCCTTCCACCTTTTTTCTGCCCATTACTGCCACTCAGCTATATTCGCTTCAGGATATATATCCGACCTATAGTATGCCAACTGTTCCCAACCATAAGGCCTCAGGAAGCTCGATTTAAACGAAGATTCAACTTCAGAAAGGCAGATTAGACTAAATTCTCAGACGTTAGATGACATGATCATATTGGTCGCACCAATCCCTGAGGAATACGAACACTTTATTGAAATAGTGAAAACCTGCTCAAGGGCCTCCATACCGAGAGGCTGCAGAACCAACTACCTTCAGGGCATTACTCCTGAAACAGCTGCCTTGTTGGAAAACTATTACAGGCTCCACAATGAAGACCCATTTAGTGAGCAAACCCTTCAGGCAGCTCAGAGCATTGTGTCCTCCATCTATGAAGCCAAGAAAAAAACAGTGAATCACAAAGGTTGACATGGGGAGGAGCAGCCAGAAGGTGTGGAGGCTGCTAAGATAGCTGAGCAATGACCCCTCACAAACTAATACCCATGCCAACATAAAGGCAGATCAGATAGCACACCAACTCTTGAAGAATGGGAAACCCAACCTTGCCACCAAAGTAGGAAAGAAACCAATAGCCAGACAACCAGAGATTGAGAACAACAACCTTCATGAACCCGTTATATCTACTGAATTGGACATGGCTCTCAATAAATGTAAAAATGGCAAAGCAGCTGGCCTGGGTGATCTACGGATGGAACAAATCAAGAACTTTGGCCCAAAAGCAAGGCGCTGGCTGCTGGAACTGATGAACAACTGCACTGCATCCTGTCAGATCCCCAAAATCTGGAGGAAAGCAAGAGTCATCGCCATCTTGAAGCCAGGCAAAGACCGTAATGATCCAAAAAGCTATAGACCAATTGTGCCATGTTGTGCCACCTCTACAAAGTTCTAGAGAGACTTATTTTGCATAGAATTATGGAAAAAATAGACCCCTGTCTGACTCCACAGCAAGCTGGCTTCAGGAAAGGCAAAAGCTGCACATCGCAAGTGCTGAACCTGACTCTGCACATAATAATAAATATAATAATAGAGTAAACTAATGTAAAAGTAATAATAACCATAATAGAGTAAAATCATAAATGTAATAAAAATAATAGTAGAGTAAAATAACGTAAATATAATAATAACAAGAACAGAGTAAAATCATAAATGTAATATTAACCATTCAGATATTACAATGACATCTTGAGTGACAAGGGTCCTTAATCAAAGAATGCGACAAGATGAAATGTTGTATTTTGTATTTGTCTTCACATATGAAGCTAAATGGAATAGGGAACTTTGTGTTTTACATTTCAGTCTAATGGCCATGGCCTGCTTATGACTTCTTTGAGCAGACATGTGGTTTGGGTTAGGGATGCTGACTTTCTTCTCTCTTCTCTCATGTCAGGAGGACCATAATAGCATGGAAGCTGATCTGGATAAAGATGAAGTGTTGCAGCCTCAGCCGGGGGAGTTGTCGGGCGAGAAACTCTTGACCACGGAATACTTGGGAGTAAGTACCAACTCTGTGGCACCAACAAAGGCTGTTTTGGGTTTCATTGCTGTGTGTTTTACCCTGGACAGGGGCAGGGTTAGCATGTTTAGCCCTGAAGTCCATATGAACTTGACATAAGTGAAAGCAAGTAAAAAAGGCTTTACTTCAGCCAGATTAAGGATTTATTTATCATGTCAGGGCAACCAGTCGATTATATTACATTTCTAACAGAACAAAGCAAACAAACAGACAAAATACAAATTTGTGAGTTTGATAGTTGATTAAATGTCCGTTGACCAGTATCTGGCCACTTGGAGTGCCTCTGGTGTTGCGCAGAAGTCCTCCATTGTGCATGCTGGCGGGCTCAGGTTGCATTGCAGCAGGTGGTCAGTGGTTTGCTCTTCTCCACGCTCGCATGTTGTGGATTCCACTTTGTAGCCCCATTTCTGAAGGTTGGCTCTGCATCTCGTGGTGCCAGAGCGCAGTCTGTTCAGCGCCTTCCAAGTCACCCAGTATTTTGTGTGCCCAGGGGGGGAGTCTCTCATTGGTTATCAGCCATTGGTTGAGGTTCTGGGTTTGAGCCTGCACTTTTGGACTCTCGCTTGCTGAGGTGTTCCAGAGAGTGTCTCTGTAGATCTTAGAAAACTTTTTCTAGATTTAAGTCGTTGACGTGCTGGCTGATACCCAAACAGGGGATGAGCTGGAGATGTCTCTGCCTTGGTCCTTTCACTATTGGCTGCTACTTCCCGGCGGATGTCAGGTGGTGCAATACCGGCTAAGCAGTGTAATTTCTCCAGTGGTGTAGCCAACCTGTGATAATGCGGCATGTCTCATTAAGAGCCACATCCACTATTTTAGTGTGGTGAGATGTGTTCCACACTGGGCATGCGTACTCAGCAGCAGAATAGCACAGCGCAAGTGCAGATGTCTTCACTGTATCTGGGGTTGTGATCCCCAGGTTGTGCCAGTCAGCTTTCGTATGATATTGTTTCTAGCACCCATTTAAGCAAATTAAAGATAATACACATTCTTCAAGTAACATAAAACAGGAGTCTTCATATCAGACAGCAAAATAAAGTCTTTGGTAAACAGGCTTATAAGTTGCAAACAACAAGAGCCTTCAGAGATCCGAGGTTGGAACAACAATACAGCGCTGGTAACAGGAACTCCCTCCAAAATAGGTCGGTTTTAGCCAGCACTGAACCCCTGACCTTGCTGCTAATTTATAGCCCTGAACTTCCCGGCACAGCTATCCCTAGGGTTTGGTCTGATTGCTCAACATTTTCTCTGCTAACCTAATTGATCCTCTTCTGCCATCTTTCTCCCTTAGACGTTCCAGAAAGATAGGGATTTCTGATATAACTGCTGCCTCTTCTCCTTCTTCCTTCTCCTTACCACTCAGCCCCAAATCCCCAAGGACTGTTTCTTCCCACCTGTCCTCCTTCTAACTCAGGATCAGAAGAGCAGTCTACAACAGTCCGGCACTTTCTGAAGCAGCTCAGTCAGCTGTCAGGCACTTAACTGTCAAGTGGTCTCATCATCAGAAAATATTTCCTAATATTTATTATTTATCGTGTCAGGAGCAAACCAAACAGTTGTACTGCATTTTTTAACAAACAAACACAAAGCACAAAGTTTGCAAGCTTGATAGTTGATTAATACCTGGGAGTCACTCTGGACCGTGCTCTGACCTACAAGAAGCACTGCCTGAATATCAAGCAAAAAGTGGGCGCTAGAAACAATATCATACGAAAGCCGACTGGCACAACCTGGGGATCACAACCAGACACAGTGAAGACATCTGCCCTTGCGCTGTGCTACTCTGCTGCTGAGTATGAATGCCCAGTGTGGAACACATCTCACCACGCTGAAACAGTGGATGTGGCTCTTAATGAGACATGCCGCATTATCACGGAGTGTCTGCGGCCTACACCACTGGAGAAATTACACTGTTTAGCCAGTATTGCACCACCTGACATCCACCGGGAAGTAGCAACCATTAGTGAAAGGACCAAAGCAATGACATCTCCAGCTCATCCCCTGTTTGGGTATCAGCCAGCATGTCAACGACTTAAATCAAGAAATAGTTTTCTAAGATCTACAGAGACACTCGCTGGAACACCTCAGCAAGCGAGAGTCCAAAAGTGGCAGGCTCAAACCCAGAACCTCAATCAATGACTGATACCAAATGAGAGACTCCCCGCTGGGCACACAGAGGACTGGGCGACTTGAAAGGCACTAAACAGACTGTGCTCTGGCACCACGAGATGCAGAGCCAACCTTCAGAAATGGGGCTACAAAGTGGAATCCATGACATGTGAGTGTGGAGAAGAGCAAACCACTGACCACCTGCTGCAATGCACCCTGAGCCCTGCCACATGCACAAGGGAGGACCTTCTTGCGGCAACACCAGAGGCACTCCAAGTGGCCAGATACTGGTCAAAGGACATTTAATCAACTACCAAGCTTGCAAACTTTGTGTTTTGTTTGTTTGTTTGTTTTTTAAAAAATGCAATGCAACTGTTTGGTCTGGCCCTGACACAATAAATAAATAAATCATCAGAAAATATTTCCTAATTAGTTTTAGTATATAATATAAAAGCCAGTGTGTAGTAGCCAGAAAGAAGGCCTAAGCCAGCGAGCCCACTGCCAGAGATGCTTCGAGGTGATCAATTTTGCTATTCTCAGTTTCATTGGAGGGAGAAGAAGCCTGGCTATGAGCCATCACCACTGTTTGTTATTTCTGTACAACTGTTTGCTTTCAAATGTGGCAACAGAATTCACCTTACTATTACTGTTCTTATCTTTGTCGTAACTTCGTAGCTATAGTTACTTCATTATTAATTTTAATGCTCTGCTTGTAAAAAGAAATCATATTTGTTTCCAGTCCTGCTGAAGCATGCATGCATAAATGAACGTGTTTGCTTAGGGATATGGGCCACCTCATCTTGTTCTCCACTTCACCTGGCCTTTAAGAAACTCTGGATGATAATAATGGTGGCAGAGGACTTTTACAAGTCAAACAAGCAGCCGAAGAAGAAAAACACACCCTGGCAGAATATGTTAAGGAAAGCCAAGAACCTGCTTTAATTGAAGTCAATAATCGGAAACTTCTCAAAGCACAGCAGACAAAGAGTCAGTACAAGAAAACTGCATTCCAAGCCAGAGCTGACAGCTGGCACAACAAAGCCTTACATGGGCAATTCCTTGAGAAGATTGAAGGAAAAGTTGAAAGGAGAAGACCTGGTTATGGCTCACGAATGAAACCCTGAAGAAGGAGACAGAAGAAGGCCTGATTCTTGCAGCCCAGGAGCAAGCCATCAGAACAAAGGCCATTAAGGCCAGGATTGAAAAATCAGCTGATGACCCAAAATGCAGACTGTGCAAGGAAGTTGATGAAACCTGGATCATCTCCTCAGCTGTTGCAAGAAAATTGCACAGACGGACTACAAACAAAGACACAACTCTGTGGCCCAAATGATTCACTGGAACTTATGTCACAAGTACCACCTGCCAGCAGCAAAGAATTGGTGAGATCATAAACCTGCAAAGGTTGTGGAAAATGAAGCCGCAAAAATACTGTGGGACTTTCAAATCCAGACTGACAAAGTTTTGGAACACAACACGCCAGACATCATGATTGCGGAAAAGAAAAAAGTCTGGATTATTGATGTCACCATTACTTACTTACTTACTTTAATTACTTACTTACTTACTACTTACTTAGGCGATCCCTCATAGTCTGAGGATGATGGTCCTCCAAGTTCGGTGTCCTGGGGGTGGGTCCGTAGGTGACTGTGGAGCTCTATTCTTGATTTGCATCTTCTTCCGCAGTGAGGGCATTGGTTTCCAGGTGGGAGGCAGTCTCGGTCGGGGTTGGCTTGATGCGCCTTCCTCTTGGCACGTTTCTCTCTTTCACCCTCCATTCGTGCCTCTTGAAATTCTGCAGCACTGCTGGTCACAGCTGACCTCCAGCTGGAGCGCTCAAGGGCCAGGGCTTCCCAGTTCTCAGTGTCTATGCCAGAGTTTTTGAGGTTGGCTTTGAGCCCATCTTTAAATCTCTTTTCCTGTCCACCAACATTTCGTTTTCCATTCTTGAGTTCAGAGTAGAGCAACTGCTTTGGGAGACGGTGGTCGGGCACCTGAACAACATGGCTGGTCCAGCGGAGTTGATGGCAGAGGACCATTGCTTCGATGCTGGTGGTCTTTGCTTCTTCCAGGACGCTGACGTTTGTCCGCCTGTCTTCCCAAGCCATACCAGGTGACAGTCGCATTGAGGAAAAACAACAGGAAAAACTCAGCTGCTATCAAGACCTCAAAATCGAACTGTAAATAAACCAGTACAGGTGGTCCCAGTGATCATCGGCACACTGAGTGCCATGCCAAAAGATCTCAGCCGGCATTTGGAAACTATAAACATTGACAAAATCATGATCTGTCAACTGCAGAAGGCCACCTGACTTAGATCTGCTCGCATCATTCGAAAATACATCACACAGTCCTAGACTTTTGGGAAGTGTTCGACTTGTGATTTTGTGATACGAAATCCAGCATAGAGATCTCATTTGCTCTGACATACTGTGCTTTTGTGTATAATAATAATAATCTTTATTTATACCCCACCACCATCTCTCCAAAGGGGACTCGGGGTGGCTCACATTAGCCCAAAAATACAATACAGTAAAATAAAATACAAAACAACAGAAAAATTACATCAGAACAAAATACATAAAATTGCAAAATAAAGTGAACAATGCAAAATAACATAATAAAACTTTTTTTTTGTCGTGTCAGGAGCGACCACTCCTGTTGTGAGAGAATTGGCCGTCTGCAAGGACGTTGCCCAGGGGACGCCCGGATGATTTGATGTTTTTATCATCCTTGTGGGAGGCTTCTCTCATGTCCCCGCATGAGGAGATGGAGCTGATAGAGGGAGCTCCTCCGCCTCTCCCCAGATTCGAACCTGCAACCTGTCGGCACAGGGCTTTAACCGACTGTGCCAAATAGGACGGGTCCAATACACAGATAGAATAATAAAGCCCTGGATGATGCATCTACATTGTAGAATTAATGCAGTTTGACACAAGTTTAGCTACCATGGCTCAGTGCTATGAAATCCTGGGTGTTGTAGTTTGTGAGAAACCAGATCTCTTTGTCAGAGAAGGCTAAAAACCTTTGTAGAACTACATCTCCCAGGATGCCATCACATTGAGCCATAGCAGTTGAAGTGGTGAGAAACTGCATTAATTCTGCAGTGTAGAAGTACCTTGCAGCAGTGTGGATTTCCTCCTCTCCTTAAATGTGTATTTCTCTCAATGGCTTGGTTTCCCTTTCTTTTCTCAGATAATGACCAATACTCCCAAAGCCAAAAGGAAGCCGGTTCCCAGCCTGCAGCAGAGCGTTGATGAACCATTCCAGAGGCCCATGACGCCGGGCTGCCACAGAGGCACCACCTACGCAACGTAAGTCTGGACAACCAGAGTGAAAGCTGAAGAATAATCTATTTCTCTTTAACGACGTGACTTGTGCTCGTGGAAAGATGCTGCTGAAATAAAACAATACAAGTTAGACAGGACATTGCCCTTTCTGTATTTTTTTTCCTTTCAGAAAAAGAGTTCATAGAATCATAGAGTTGGAGGAGACCTCATGGGCCATCCAGTCCAACCCCATTCTGCCAAGAAGCAGGAAAAATGCATTCAAAGCACCCCCTGACAGATGGCCATCCAGCCTCTGTTTAAAAGCCTCCAAAGAAGGAGCCTCCACCACACTCTGGGGCAGAGAGTTTCACTGCTGAACGGCTCTCATATTTGTAAGGATGGATGCCTGGAAGACTCAGGCAGAAGTTGAGCTGGAAATCAGAGAGCAATGTGATCTTGGACATGGGCAAACTTGGGTTCTCAAGGTGTTTTGGACTCCAACTCCCACAATTCCTAACAGCTGGTAGGCTGTTAGGAATTGTGGGAGTTGGAGTCCAAAACACCTGGAGGGCCCAAGTTGGCCCATGTATGTCTTAAGGGCACTATAGGTTGAAAATAACTTGGAGGCACACGACAACAAGAGCTCAAAGTCATTGTTCGCGAGCCAGAGTATGATAGTTGTGAATCCTGAATGCAGTGAAGACAATCCACTTTCTTCTTTACGTCTTAAAAAAGCTTAATATTTCCAATCTCTATGGCTCATACATACATCTAGAGCCCATCTGAAGCTTCTTGAGTCGAGCAAAGCATTTTGGCAGAATGTTTTCAAAGTGCACTTTGAAATACCACTTATCGAAATCTCTCGAGTCAGAGCCATCGTGACTAAATATAACTTCCAGTTTTGTATGCGAGGTGGGGTTTCAGCACACTGAATAATTTCTTGTCTGTCCTCATGGCCAGAACTAGTGTGTTGTAGCCATTTTAGGACTGACTAGAGCAGAGCTTCTGATGCTTTTTCAGCTTTTTGTTCAAGACACAAGGTATATAAAATAGGTATATGAATCATTTTTTAAAACATCGGATGTGTTGCACTCCAGGACAGGAACAATCCTCTGACTTTAAACACCACGCGTTGAAGAGGAAAAAAACCCAATCCTTTTATTGAAGATAAGTAAAAAACAGTAAAGCAAAAAAGCACTTTAAAGAAATGGGTAAATCCAATTAGGTAAGAAGATAAGCAGGAACAAATTAATCCAAGGCGGAGTTCAGCAAAGTCCATAAAAGCAAAGTGCACACAACTCAAATACAATCCAGAAAATCAGGAATACATTGATCCAAGGCTTGGGTAAGCAATCATGAAATCCAGGAATCAAAACCATGAAACAAGAAATATCTTGGCATGAATCTTTAAAGCAAAGCTTCCATGAACACACACACACACACACACATACACAAAAACATACACACAAACACATGCGCGCGCACACACATTTTAAGCTGCAGATAGTTGAATTTGAGGATACAGAGGGCCATTATTATTATTATTATTATTATTATTATTATTATTATTATTATTATATCATATTATTGCAAGCCAAACTCTGCAAGTAGGTTTTAGGTGCAATAAATTAAAAAAATAAGTTACTTCTCTAGAAGGGAAAAAGGATATGGTAATATTTGGGATGTATGAGGATGACTGAATGTGTATGGGTAATGTGAATGCTGAGTAAAAATGTAACCCCCTTCTCTGTTGGTTTGTTAGCCATTGTAACTTTAGGTTGTTTATGAATTCAGTGTATTTACATAGAATCTGTATGTCTAAATGTTGTTCTGGAAAGCCCCCCACCTTATCTCCAGAAGAGGTTCACTTTAATTCTCACACACCCAAGAATCTCTTACAACAGTATCCCTACCTCGACTTGCAACAAGGAGAAGCATCAATTGAGGGGTATTCGCACCTGAAAGCTAAGTTTACTGCCTTCTCTAATGATTTACTGATAATTAAGAATTACTTACAGGAAAGTACGGGGCTCCTGAGTACACTTGCAAAAATAATTAAAGCGGAAGTTTTGGAAAGCAACTGTGATACTATTAAGGCAATATCGGCTGTCAACACTATATACAACCAGGCAGGACGCAGCTACCTTACGCTGTAGTGATAAAAGAACAAAACAGACAAAAGCAGATAAAGGCAAGCACCTTAAAGTCATCTGTAAGAGCCAGAAAAAAAATCATGAACAGCAAAAGTGAGATGAAACAAAAGACAGCATGCAAACAAATAAAAAGTTTCAGAAATCATCAACGCAGTTTAAAGACACTCCTAGCTCTAATTCCATCTTCAAAAACCTTGGTAACAAGAAGGAGGAGAAGCAAAAAAAGACTCCATGCATGTTGATGCCATAGTCTCCTTTATCGACCCAAATATAGCCAAATTTGTCATAAATGTTGTTCTGTAAAAGTCTTATCAGTTGGGGGACCAACTGCTGCTCTGGGCCAGAGTGAAGAGAGAGGGAGCCAGGGGACAGTTCCACCTTGTCTTCTGTGCTATGCTAATAATATAATATAATATAATATAATATAATATAATATAATATAATATAATATATTGTATATACATATAATATTTATAATATTATAATGTAATACAATATAATACTAATAATAATATGATATTATAATTATATTTTATATTACATGTAATATTACTAATAATATTACAATATAATGGTATAGTACAATTTTTATTTATTTACAGTATTTATATTCCGCCCTTCTCACCCCGCAGGAAACTCAGGGCGGATCACAATGTACACATATATGGCAAACATTCAATGCCAATTTGACATACAACGTATACAGACATACACAGAGGCTATTTAACTTTTTCTGGCCACCAGGGGAGCTGTTGCTTTCATCGTCCATCTGCGACACTGATGAAGTACTTCCGCATTCCCTGCATGCTTTTGCTGGAGTGCTTTGCTGGAGTCTTTTTTATGGCCTCATAAATTAGTTAATTTAGCCTCCCCACACTTTAAGGTGGTACCTAATTTTCCTACTTGACAGATGCAACTGTCTTTCGGGTTGCAAAGGTCAACAACAGGCTACACAATTGGTTGGAAAGCCCACTCCAACCCGGGCTGGCTTCGAACTCATGACCTTTGGTCAGAGTGATCGTAATGCAGCTGACACTCAGCCAGCTGCGCCACAATCCCGGGGCTAGTAATGTATAATACTGATATTGTACTATGCTACTAATATATATTGTATGTATATATACCTTGTAAGCTGCTCTAAGTCCCCTTTGGGGTGAGAAGGACGGCATATAAATGTCGTAAATAAATAAATAAATAAATACTCTTTCTCATTCTGGGAAATTGCAATAAACCTATCCTTCAAAGTTTTTGAAAAGTTATTCATTAACACTGAAGTATCTCAGGCTATACACATAGGTATTCAGCGAGAGAGAGAGAATTCACTCATCACGAAAAGAAACATTAGGATGCAATTTAAAGGTCAGGAGGAAGCAGGGATGCTTTTAAAGGTCAGGAGGAAACAGGTGGTTCAGTGCCCATGTGGAGTTTGCAGCAAGAGAGAGCATATATACGTATATGATTTCAACACTCGGAAGCACAATACAAATGTCGGTTTTGTTCTAAAAGTCGCTTGATTTCTAATGTTGCACAACCCCTTGCAATCTTATCAAAATGAAGCCAAAATAGTGCAGGTTTAGGGAAGGATGGGCCCTGGTCTGGCTTATTTTTTAAGCTCTCCGTGAGTTAGTTTTATTGTGACATTTCCGGCACAGTTTGTATTTCATTGCAGCGAGCAAGTCTTAAAACCTGCAGGGCCTAAACAAGAGATGTTTGCAAAACAGGAGGCGTTGATTGCTATTCCTGACAGGTAGGTCTTTCCCCCTTTTTCTAGATGCCCCGGAGTCATAAAAGCTGAGTCCTCTTTCATCCTGAAATGTGAGATATGCTTATGAATTTCTTCCATTTCTTCTTTCTAAACCCCTTTTTCCTGTTGCAGTAATGGTGCCTAGTGCCACCAATGTCATGTGAATTTGCCCTGGGTTTTAGTATGAATTTCAAGAAAGGGATCCAAAGTATTGAACCTATCTAGGGGATATTTCAGGGATTGAAGCTTGAATTAATATCTGATCCATTATCCCACTGAGATGAGATCTTTTGGGCTCCACATAATTCTTTCCTTTTTGATAACAGCACAAATGCATTATAGAAAGGTTTGGTTTCAAAAGCCTTCCTTTGCTTCTGTTATTGTCTTCTAGATACTGTATATACTCGAGTATAAGCCTAGTTTTTCAGCTCTTTTTTTAGGCAGAAAAAGTCCCCCTCGGCTTATACTTTGAGTCAAGGTTATTTATTATTTTACTCTGTTGTTGTTATTATTATTTTTTATTATGTATTTACACCTTTCATATTCTGCCCTTCTCACCCCGCAGGGGACTAAGGGCGGATTACAATGTACACATATATGGCAAACATTCAATGCCAGTTTTTGACATACAAACATATACAGACATACACAGAGGCTATTTAACTTTTTCTGGCCGCCAGGGGAGCTGTCGCTTTCATCGTCCATCTGTGACGCTGATGAAGCACTTCCACATTCCCCACATGCTTCCCCGCTGGAATGCTTTGCTGGAGTCTTCTTTGTGGCCTCATAAATCATTTAATTTAGCCTCCTCACTAAGGTGGTACCTAATTTTCCTACTTGACAGATGCAACTGTCTTTCGGGTTGCAAAGGTCGACAACAGGCTACACACAATTGGTTGGAAACCCACTCCAACCCGGCCTGGCTTCGAACTCATGACCTTTTGGTCAGAGTGATCTTAATGCAGCTGACACTCAGCCAGCTGCGCCACAATCCCGGTGGGATAATAATCCACAATTATTATTATTATTATTATTATTATTATTATTATTATTATTATTATTACATTTATAATTTTACTCTATTACTATTATTACATTTATTATTGTACTTTATTATTGTTATTACATTTATTATTTACATTTATTTTACTCTATTATAACTCTTATTACTACATTTCCATTATTTCAATCAATAATAATAATAATAATAATAATAAATGTAATAATTTGTTTTTATTAATAAATTATTACATTTATTATCTTATTCTCTTTATTATTATTATTGCAAGGATACATAAGCACATTTGCATTGAAGAAGATGAAAATAATGGTTTCATCAGAGTTGGACAGTCTTATCTTAGGTTGTTGTAGGTTTTTTAGGGCTATATGGCCATGTTCTAAAGGCATTCTCTCCTGACGTTTCGCCTGCATCTATGGCAAGCATCCTCAGAGGTAGTGAGGTCTGTTGGAACTAGGAAAAAGGGTTTATATATCTGTGGAATGACCAGGGTGGACAAAGGACTCTTGTCTGCTGGAGCTAGGTGTGAATGTTTCAACTGATCACCTTGATTAGCATTTGATTGCCTGGCAGTGCCTGGAGCAATCTTTTGTTGAGAGGTGATTAGATGTCCTTGTTTGTTAAATCTTATCTTAAATTGCAGTTTTATGGAAATATTCAAAAACATTGAACCTACCAATGCCTCAATTAATGTAATTTTATTGATATCTATTTTCATTTTGAAATTGACCAGTACCTGCTGCATTTCCCACCCTCAGCTTATACTTGAATCAATATGTTTTCCTAGTTATTTGGGGTAAAATTAGATGCCTCGGCTTATATTCTGGTCGGCTTATACTCAAGTATATATGGTATATATTTTTCTTGCAGTCACATTTGCAAAATCTAGGAATATCTAGTGATAAGATCCATGGAACAATAGAGAGAGCTAGATTAAGAAGAGGCTGGAGAGAATCCAATAAAAGTCCAGATTTAAAAAGTGTTTAGTAGGTTTTTTTTTTTTGTTTAGCTAAAGTAGGCTTTTTTTTTCTTTTCAAAATAGAATATTGGCTCTACTGGGCACTTGGAAATGATGCATTTCCTCATTTTTTTCTGGTGGGAAACTAAATTAAACCCAAGGTTGGAAAACTTTAAAGAAGTTCCCATTTTTTCTCCTCTCCTTTGGAAAATGGAAATCTCCAGAACTGTTTGGAGATTTTATGATTTTTGGAAAGGCATGACCTTGTTAGAAGTCACAACGTTTTGAAAAACGATGCCATGACCTTTTGGTTGGAAAAGCACAATCTTTTAGAGTCATAACCTTTTGGGAATCCACCATTCACACACACATATATACATACAGCAGAGTTTTAGAAATGTTCCTTTTAGTTGCCCAAAAAACATCTACTCCCCCTTAAAATATATTTGCCCTTAAATCATGCTCTCAAGAGACAAAAATAAGTAGACTTCTTTAAAAGTAACATGGTTGGTTTACTCACAAACTTCATGTATTCAGCATACAGGTACTTATCAATCCAGTTACAAATTTGAACTGTGAATTTGATCTGTGAATTTGAACTGTGGTGCTGGAGGAAAGTTCTAAGAGTGCCCTGGACAGCGAAAAGATCCAACCAGTCCATACTTCAAGAAATAAAACCTGACTGCTCATTGGAGAGAATAGTAGAGGCCAAGATGAAGTCGTTTGGCCACATCATGAGAAGAAAGGAAAGCTTAGAGAAGACATTGATGCTAGGGAAAATGGAAGGAAAAAGGAAGAGGGGCCGACCAAGGGCAAGATGGAAGGATGGGGTATCCTTGAAGTGACTGGATTGACCTTGAAGGAGCTGGGTGTGGTGACAACCAACAGGGAGCTCTGGCGTGGACTCGTCCATGAAGTCACGAAGAGTCGGAAACGACTGAACGAATGAACAACAAGAAGACAGGCCACCTTTCTTAGAATCATTAGTCCATAGTCCAAAGCATCTCTGTATTCTGAGAGTCTAATAGTTTGTCTAGTCCAGTGATTCCCAAGCTTTTTTTGACCAGTGACCTATTGACCAGAGACCACTTTGACCAGGTACCTGTTGCAATCCAGAGCAAGAAAGAGACCATAAGATAACAATCCACCACACTTGACTGTGGGGAAAAAACAATCCCTTTTTATTGATGAAAAATGGTTACAAAATAGAGGAAAATGCGAAGTCAAAAAGCCACAGTAAAATTCAGCAGTCAGGAATATCCATGAATTAGATCAAAATTCCAAAAGCAACACTGTAAAAACCTGGAATCTGTTAGCAAATCACTAACTGTACTAATGAGACAACCCGGCGAGAGGCACTTAAAACTGAAGAAACTGTTTCGTGACACGCCTCCAGGCTTTGAAGCCTGAGCTTCCTTTTCCCTTAATCTGCTTGAGCTTCGCAGACTCTGCGATTCACTCCTGTTTTTCCAAATCTGTCCTTTTCTATCCTCATTAAGGAAGCCAGGTGCTATCGCCTCTGGAGAGTTATCACCGCTTGGCTCTGCAACATTCTCATCAGAATGTGTGGTTTCACTTTCCAAGCCACTGACCTCAGAATCATTTTCATTACCCTCAGGGAGAAATACATTTTCAGTAGCATCAGGAAAGACAATCAGAGAATCAGGTTCAGGTTCACACGCAGGCTGAACCCCAACACTTGACCAGGGACCCCTTTGACCAGGGGCCACTCTCCAACATTAGTACCAAAAGGGTTACAAATCAGTTTTTGGTCAACTTTAGATTCAGTTTGGGGTGCTGATTCAGAAAATTGCATTGGATAGACCACATCAGCTCTAATTTCTGAAATAGAACATATACCATGGTTAGTGACAAGGAAGGAGTGGCAGGTGGCGTGAAAGGAGTGGAAATAAAATAAATAAAGAGGAAGGAGGCTTGCAGACCAGATTTTCGTTCTCGCGGCACACTGGTTGTCTGCGGCCCACAGGTTAAAAACCACTAGTCTAGCCTGAAAGATGAATGAGATCTCTTAAGCATTCTGTTCCTACTGAAGTCCAAAACAAACCTCTAAAATGGAGTCTGAGTCCTGAACAAGCCCAGTTCTGATTGCATGGTGCAGCTCCTCCCATTGCAAAGAGTTAAGGTAAAATTGCAAACCAGTATACACGTATACAATACAGTAAACAATTATATACATAACAAATAACTAGTGGAGCCTCAAGAAGGTTGTTATTTCCAACACTCTCAGTCTTGCACTTTGTACTTGGAAGACTTTGAGCAACTGCTAGAAAGGATGTGACCAACGTGTTCGTAGGCACAAGCTATGAAGAAATGAAATTGGCATGAAGACTATTTCCTCCAGCATCATGCTTTAGCTTCTCATCTCTGTGCCTGAGGCAGACCCCTTTGGAGCATAGCAGACAGGAAGAGTTTAGGAAATTATATGTCAAGAGAACTGGACGGAGCTTGTGTAATTCTTTTATTTATTTACATCACACTTTCCAACCAAAATTGGAAGGAATCTCATATAAAGATTTTTAAAATAACAGGTGTGGGGAAAATCAAACACAGCTAAGCAAATTATATTAAAATACAATTGAAGAAAAGAGAAAATATCCACTTCTCATCCTCATTTAAAGTCTCTTCATCAACAAGCATTTGATTGTTCTAAAGCCCACCAGAATGTTTTCCAAAAGGTCTTTGCTTGTGAGCAGAAGGACACAAGGGAGAAGGGAAGCTCAGCCATCCTTACGGTGTATCCGCATTGTAGAATTAATGCAGTTTGGTACTTCTTTAACTGCTATGGCTCAAACTTATGGGATCATGGGACCACTCCCATGATCCCATAAGTTTGAGCCATAGCAGTTAAAGTAGTTTGGTGAGACCCCAGCTCGAAAACTAAAGGCTAAAACTACAACTCCCAGGGGCCTGTAGCATTGTGGGAGGAAGCACACAAGGGAGAAGGGAAGCCCAACCATCCTTAAGGTGTATCTTCATTTTAGAATTTTGCAGTTTGATACTACTTTAACTACTATGCCTCAAAACTATGGGATCATGGGAGTGGTAGCTTGGTAAGACCCCAGCTCGAAAACTAAAGACTAAAACTACAACTCCCAGGGACCCATTGCATTGAGCCATAAAGCGATGTCAGGATACATTATTTTTATAGTGTAGCTCAGGCATGGGCAAACTTCGGTCCTCCAGGTGTTTTGGACTTCAACTCCCACAATTCCTAACAGACTACGGCTGCTGGAACTGCACCTTTGGAGGTGAGTTCCACAACCTGGGAGCAAGTACCACAAAATATGAGACCTCCTCCCCAAAGTATGTGATGGGATGCTGTTGGAATGCCTACCAGTTGGGACCTTCAAGGCTTCTTCAAGTTACATCAGCCATTGTAGTTAAGCCAAGCTTCCACGTTTCCCATCATCTGCCCTGAAGGAGTGACAGCCAGCCCTGTCATGTGGTCAAAGAAGACCACGGAAGAGCAAGACTGCCTTGATTCCTGTGTCCATGCTTTATCTGTTTCCACTTTTCCCCCTTCCTTCAAGTCTCGTACAGCGAGTGGTCCATGTCCTGTGGGAGCTGGCAAGCATGGCTGTCCCGATGGTCCACCTCCAGCTTATGTTCTCACCTTCCACCCACAATGACTTGTTTCCTTGTAATTTGGAGAACCGATGACATTCACTTGCGTGTCATCTGGGTACTTCAGAGATGGGTCCATTACCACTGAGCCACAAGACAGGCGCCAAGTTGTCCACCGCTTCAACGGAAACCACAAGAGATGATCCTGGCACCAGCTTACAATTCTCAGTTACAGGAAATTAGGGAGGTAGCAATTCAGACACAGTAATAGTTTTCGATGGCAGGCATTCATCACTCTGCCATCTCATTTCCTTCACCAGGTCAGAACATGATGCTGTATCTTCTAGTAGCGGGGAGAGCCGTGTCCAGCACAGACAGATCCAGGTCGCCGAGTCAGTAACGTACAGCGGGAGGAGACCCAGCTTGTCAGAGCTTTGTTCCTCTTTGGCATGTAAGGATCTGATGGATGCTTGCCCATGGCTTTGGGTTTCAGCCAACCTTTCATGGTTTAACTCACTGTCTTCTAGATATTACTACTGTCTGGAGGGTTGAAGAATATATGGGCCTGCAGGTAGGGGTAGGAAAGGCATGGGCAAACTTTGGCCCTCCAGGTTCCCCAAACTGTGAAACATTGGTGTGAAACATACAAACACTGTGAAACATACATTCAACTCCTGCTTCTTGGCAGGGGGTTGGACTGGATGGCCCATGAGGTCTCTTCCAACTCTTTGATTCTATGATTCCCAGCCGGTATGCTGTTAGGAATTGTGGGAGTTGAAGTCCAAAACACCTGGAGAACCGAAGTTTGCACAGACCTGGGGTAGGACATGAGAACCAGATCCAAAAACTTAGCCAGAGATGGGAGAGCCTCATCATGTTTCTCATTTCTATGCATGTTTGGAAAAGATGTTAATGCTAGTTAAAAGTGGAAGGCATAGAAAAGGGGAGAGGCCACGTTACAAGTGGACTGATTCAATCAAGGAAGTCCTGGAGTTTGATAGACTTTAGCAGCGTTCTTGGGTGACTCTCATTTGTAGGTCAGAGTTGACTTGACAGTATATAGCAACAAATCTGGATTTCCACCCACAATTTGCTTCCAGAGCAGCTAACAAAATTCACATAGAGACGCATAGCTCAGAGACAGAACACACAGTTCGTATGTAAAAAGAGCTCAAGTTTAAAACATTACATTTCTAGAACTATCTAGTCCATCTGAAACCACTGCAGGGTCATTTTTGAACTAATGAAGAAGGTGCTTCCCATGATGAGATCTTTGGGGTCCCATCATACATGAGGCTTATGCTTTGAAAACCATTGAAGTTAGGTAGATGTGGGTTGCTGTAGTGTTGGCAGCAATGCCTCAAAGCAAACAAGAGAGAGGGACACATTACAGCAGTGTTCCTCAACCTGTGGGTCCCCAGGTGTTTTGGCCTACAACTCCCAGAAATCCCAGCCAGTTTACCAGCTGTTAGGATTTCTGGGAGTTGAAGGCCAAAACATCTGGGACCCACAGGTTGAAAACCACTGTTCTACAGAGTAATGGGACACCATCAACATGATGGTGTCCCATGATGAGACCCTTGGGGTCCCATTATACAAGTTACTTCCATAATGGGACCCTTGGGGTCCCATTATACAAGTTACTTCAAATATGTTACTCATTTGTTCCTCAACAAGTATGTTGAGCCTGTAAGACTCACTCTCTCTCTGAGGTTTCTCTCCATTCCTCTATTGTGCTAGACTTGTCTTGGCGAAGACTTGGGGCAGAGTCTTTTAGTCTAGGGAACTCCCTTTCAGGAGAGATTTAATTTGGGAAACAGACATACTGGACCCTTGGAACGGAATCTGCAAGAAGGGTTTTCTCAGCAATCTCAACTGTGAGATATCCCAACTCCATTTACACCAGGCCTGCTTATTAAGCAAGCATATTGAACACAGATTCAGTTGTACACAAAGAGCTTTGAAAACCATAGAGTCGTGCTGGAGAACCTAGCAAAGGCTTTGGAAGTGTTACCTCTAAGAATCATAGTTCTGTGGTGAACGTCCATATCATTGGCCAAAGAGGACCAATGTCTAACAGCAATAGGAATGTCTCAAGATATATATGTTCCTTTCCACCAAAATCTGATCATAGAATCGTGCTGGACACCTGGAGAGATGACTACTCTGGGCATTGCTAAGCCATTCCACAGCATACTGAGGTCCACTTTAGACAGAGGTGTTGTGTATTTTTCAGGCTATATGGCTATGTTCCAGAAGCATTCTCTCCTGATGTTTCACCTTCATCTATGGCAGGCATCCTCAGAGGTTGTGAGACCTCACAACCTCTGAGGATGCATGCCACAGATGCAGGCAAAATGTCATGAGAGAATGCTTCTGGAACATGGCTATACAGCCCAGAAAACACACAACAATCCAGTGATTCTGGCCATGAAAGCCTTCAACAACACTTTAGACAGAAGTCGTAATTAATTTCAGGTAGGAAAAATAGGGCTCCAGATTACACTAACATTGTATTTTGCAAAGGATCTCAGAATTGATCCCTTGCATAATACATGTGACTACTGTATTACTCCAGTTGGACTTCTTTATGTCATCATTTATGTGTCATGTAAGCCACTCCGAGTCCCTTGGGGAGATGGTGGCGGGGTATAAATAAAGTATTATTATTATTATTATTATTATTATTTATCACGATTAGAAATGACCTGTGGATTTTCTGCTGCAAACATGGAAATATCTTGTCAAGCATTTGCCAAGCTAAAGCCAAGATTTTAACTGCAACAAGAATACCTCAGGATATGCATTACCCAGGGACAGTGCATTGAACCTTGAGTGCTGCCTGTTTAGCAGAACAAGTGGGTGGCTGGAGTAACAATTACTGCAACCAGGATGCAAAATGTCCCCTTCCAAATATTTTTTTTTCCAAACAGCTGTTGAAACAGAAATGTCGGAGAGATCCTCGGTGCATTCTGGAAAAAGTCAACGTGTCACTCCAGCTGCTGATATCCTGTTTCTCCATTCCCCAGATTGCTCCCAGGACAGTGCAAATGAATTATCCAACAGGTATGTAAATAAGCAATAACCCACTATATGGTAGATGTCATAACTGAGAAACAAACTGAACATAAAACTGGCAATACAATAAAACCTTTGTACACACCTAGGGTGTGATTACTTTGGAATCATTCTGTTCTAGTGACTGCTACACCTGAAAAGGAGACATAAAAGGGAAGTTTAAACAATCAGGAAACTGAAGCAGCTCCTATAAAGAAAGGTCACAACATTTGATGCCATTTAGGTCAGCGAAGAGGCAAATAAGGGAAAGATATGAGAGTGGTATACGGTTATATGTGATGCAGAGAAAACAGAGAAGGAGAGGTTTTACGGGTCTCTGCTATGTGGACCCTGAGTTTGCCTGATGACCTTGGATTGTGGGAAATTCAGGACAAATACAATAATGTTCTTCTGTACGGAGTGTGCCATTAAACTGCAGAATTGGCTACCTTGAGATAACAGTGAGACTCCATAAGATGACCAGCAACTTGGATGGCTTTAAAAGGGAATTGGGTAAATTGATGGATGTTGGGCAGTCGATGGCTACTGTTGTCAGGAAGTTCTTCTTGATGTTTAGGTGGAATCTCCTTTTCCAGTGCAGTGGTTTGACTCCATTGCTCTGTTGTGTCCTAGTCTCCAGGGCAGCAGAAAACAAGCTGGCTCCCTCTCTTTCTCCTCAATATGACATCCTTTCACATATTTAAACACGACTGCCATGTCACCTCTTCATGGTGAAAAGCACCCAGTTTCCTCAGCTGCTTTTCATAGGGATTTGTGGTTTTTCAAGACCACTTTGATCACCTTTTGGACACATTCCAACAAGTCATTTTCTTCCCTAAGTTGTGATGCCCAGAACTGAAAGCAAAACGTATTCCAGGTGAGATCTGACCAGAGCAAAATAGAGCCATACAATTGCTTCCTTCAGCCTAGACACTATCCGATCTATGCAGTCTAGGATCACATTAGCTGACACACCACATTATTGACTGATGTTAAGCTTATGGCCCACTTACTAAGACTTATAGGTTTCTAGACCTGGGACTGCCAAAAAACCTCAAGACCCATAACTACTTCATATCAAGATAGGTTTGGGACTAACCTCAAGACCCCATAACTACCTCATACCAAGATAGGTTTAGGCCCTGCCTATCTTCACAATCACATCTCCATCTATGAACCGGCGTGAACTCTAAGATCTTCCAGGGAGGCCCTCCTCTTGCTCCCATCTCCATCACAAGCGCGGTTGGTGGGGACGAGAGAGAGGGCCTTCTCGGTGGTGCCCCACCTCTGGAACACCCTTTCAAGGGAAATAAGACAGGACCAATCTCTCCCCTCGTTTCATAATTTATTTATTTATTATTTATTTTGTGTACTTCTACCCCGCCCTTCTCAACCCTCAAGGGGGGACTCAGGGCAGCTTACAAACAGGCACAATTCGATGCCTACACAATAATACAAAAATGTATAAAAACAGCCATTAAACAGTTATAACAATTAAAACAATTAAAACAATCAATATATATCACAATCAATAAACCAAACTCATGCTCAGCGTTCGCCAACTCAGAGTCCATACTTCATTCCACGGTCTATTCCTATCCGTCGTCGTAGTCCTTTACTTATCTGCCAGATTGCCCAAACGCCTGGTCCCAAATCCAAGTTTTTAATTTCCTTCTAAAGGAAAGGAGGGATGTCGCTGATCTAATTTCCCCGGGGAGTGAATTCCATAGGTGAGGGGCCACCACTGAGAAGGCCCTGCTCCTCATCCCCGCCAATCTCACTTGTGATAAAGTTTGAAGACTTGGTGGTTTCAACAAATCCTCGAGAGTGACCAGTGCTAGCTCAGCCCAGACACTGTCTGGACATGACCTAGCCCCCTTATATATTACCCTGGTCATTCTCCTAACAGGCCCCTGGAAATAGCCCATCTCCGCTTTTGTCATTTACCTATCACAGTACTGTACCCAAATGCCAGTCCCATCTTATTTCAATTTGTATCAGTCTTGACCAAGTCTTTTTAATTGTCCTGACCCATTCCTTTTCCATGCCTTAACAAATAGACATGAAGAACAGGCTATAGAGAGAGAGAGGGGGGGGGGTGTTGTTGTTGACTAATTCCATGCTTATGTTGCTGTTACTGTTATTTTTTTGTTCATATTGTGACCATGTATGTTTTGATGTTGTTGCTTGGAAACTGCCCTGAGTCCCCCCCCCCCCGTCCCCCCGGGGAGATAGAGCAGTATATAAATAAAGTTGTTGTTGTTGTTGTTGTTGTTGTTGTTGTTATATCTTGTTGGCCTGTATGGGGCCAACAAATAGGTGAAGATCTTGCCTTCATAAATTTCAGTAGAGGATGTCATCAACCTAGTTCTGTTCCTGGGAGATGTCTCAAGTCAGGATTCTTGGAGCCAAAACACTTGGAATTGATTCATTTGTTGTCCCTTCCAGAGCTCAGTTTCCTCCCTCTTGAATTGTTGGAGTTTGGAAGTGTAACCTCAGTCTCTTTGCTCACTCCGTTTGGAAGTGTTGCTCTCAACTAGAGCCTTGTGGTAGCATTTCTATTTGTTTTCTTTCTAGTTGATGGACAAGTTCCTTGTTCAGCGAAGTCTTAACAAGTGCCAGTCAAAGTTTTCGTAGCCCTCTTGTTTGTGTGTTTAATCAACAGGTACAAAAAGGTGGTTCCAAGTGGCAACAGCTGGAACGCAGCTTGATTGTTCTGCATGAACTAAAAATAATTTGTTAACGCACTGAGGTTCTTGCTGCTGTCAGACCAATTGTTTTCTTCCCGTGCTTTCTTATTAGTCTTGTGGAAATTTTTGTTTGTTTTTGGGTATTTTTGGGATGCTTTGCTTGGTGTGGAATGTGGCGATCCAACTCCTACCTCACCAGAAAGTCACATTACATGGTCTAAAACAGGCATGGGCAAGCTTTGACCCTCCAGGTGTTTTGGACTTCAACTCACAATTCCTAACAGCCGGTAGGCTGTTAGGAATTGTGGGAGTTGAAGTCCAAAACACCTGGAGGGCCAAAGTTTGCCCATGCCTCTTCTAACCGCTTTGAAAGATGAGTGCCTTTCAGCCATGTGGTTACAATAAGTATCTATGGATACTTGAAACCATCACCATGGTAATAGTAAACTCTATATATTTACTCTACGTGGCCCAGAAGTATGCCATAGAATTGCACTGCAGGACTTGAAGATATCCACAAACACTTCTGAGGTGGAACAGGATATTTTGAGGTGCATGAGTAAGTGAAACCACGGATACCAAATCCGTGATTACTATGTCTGCAAAGAAGAATTCTCCTTTTCCATTCCCAACCATATGCACTACATGAAACTCAGCTCTCTTTCATACCATGCAATGATATCCCTTTAGCCTCCATCCTATGGGATGTGGGGAGCAAGAAGGAGTCTTCTTCAGAGAGGAAGGTTCTTCAAAAACGATGTTTCCCTTTTCTTCATCCCTCCTGCCCACCCTCTAGTTTCTACTAATCCTACAGCCTCTATGGATTGCACCTTGTGGGAAAAGAATACAATTGGAGATATACCTTTGGAGCAGTGTTTCTCAAACGTCCTAATTCCGTGACCCCTTAATACAGTTCCTCATGTTGTGTGACCCCCAACCATAAAATTATTTTCATTGCTACTTCATAATTTTGCTACTGTTATGAATCGTAATGTAAATATCTGATATCCCGGTTGCATTTTCATTCACTGGACCTAATTTGGCACAAATAACCAATACGCCCAAATTTGAAGACTGGTAGAGTTGGAGGATGGGGTTGATTTTGTCATTTGGAGTTGTAGTTGCTGGGATTTATAGTTCACCTACACTCAAAGAGCATTCTGAACCCCACCAACGATGGAATTGAACCAAACTTGGCACACAGAACTCTCATGACCAACAGAAAATACTGGAAGGGTTTGGTGGGCTTTGTCCTTGAGTTTTGGAGTTGTAGTTCACCTACATCCAGAGAGTATTGTGGACTCAAACAATGATAGATCTGGACCAAACTTGGCAGGGATACTCAAAATGCCCAAATGTGAACACTGGTGGAATTTGGGGAAAATAGACCTTGACATTGGGAGTTGTAGTTACTAGGATTTATAGTTCATCTACAATCAAAGAGTAATCTGAACCCCTCCAACGGTAGTGCTGGGCCAAATGTCCCACACAGAACCCCCATGCCTTGAAGGGACTCATGGGCATGAGCCTCCCTCCAGCCTCACACACTGTCCCTCGCCCGCACATGTGCACCACGTTGCCATGTGCTGTGCACGCCTGCTCTTCCCTCACTGCTTGGAGTCTCAGGCTGAGAGGCTGGCCAATGACAATGGAGGAGGGTTTTTGGTGGGAGGATTCACAATCTGTTTCCAAACAAGAAGAGAGGACAGGCAGAGAGATCTTCAGCCTTCTCTGCCAAAGGGTTCCTAAAACCATTATTTATTATTTAAAACTTTTATATCCCGATCTTCTCAGCTCCGTAGAGGGACTCAGCAAGGATTCAATGCTACTGATACAAGTTAAAACATCATACAACAATACAAGATTAAAATACATATAGATAAAATACATATATACTAAATTACCAAGATGTTCAACTCAGTCCGCATATGTGGTCACTCACTTTGATCTGTAACCAGTCTCAGCCATTATTCTGGGAATGCTTCGTTGCATAACCAGGATTTCACTATCCATCTGAAGGACTAGAGGGAGGGAGCAGATCTAATCTTGCTTGAGAATTCCATAGCTGAGGGGCCACCACAGAGAAGGCCCTGTCTCTCGTCCCCACCAAACGCGCTTGCGAAGGTGGTGGGCCCGAGAGCAGGGCCTCTCTGGAAGATCTTAATGTCCTTGATGGTTCATAGGGGAGAATACATTCGGACAGGTAAATATATCACAAATATATGTTTTCTGGTGGTCTTTGGCGACCCCTCTGAAACCCAGGTGTCCTGAACCCCAGGTTGAGAAACACTGCTTTAGAGTCAGTCCACACACACTTCA